TATATATATAAGGCTTATCAAGTCAGAAATAATCCTGATTGTGTTATAATTCTGCATTTGTGACACATTTTTGTCAAAAAATACTTAACAATACACTGTGTGACCATTTTCAAAGCAAGGAGCTCAATAAAGAATGTGCACAACTTGTATCACAAATACAGAATGAGCATAAACATTCAAAAAATATGGAAATGTTTGGATCAAAAGTTGAAAGTTTATTTTCACAACTATTAAAAATCATCAATGAGCCGGCAGTTTTGGGTACAGAAAGCCCACACTGGCATGTAACATGTAAACTTTACACAAAAAGATTCAAGTCCACATCCCAACCAGAGACCTTCATGCTTTCTCTGAGGTTTGAAGGAGGTTTAAACACAGAATTCTACGAACATCTTTCAAATACAATATAAAATAGTTGTGAATTTAATGACAGCAACCAGTTTAGAATATCCTAGAACAGGGAAAACARAGACTTTCTTGGTTCATTTAAAAAAATGAAGTATCTCAAATAATTAGGTTAACTGGAACATAAATCTGCACACAAAAAACAACAAATAAAACAAAAGATAAACAATAGTAGCACCTAAACCAGATCCAGAGATAACAGTGAGCATGTTGTATTCAAGCAAATGGAAGATGATGCAAAGAGAAATGGAAAACTGTAATGGACTTAAATAGTCAAACATTATAGAAATCATCACATCTTTTGAGCTAAAATGGAAAAGTAGATCAAACTTTGGATTCATTCTGGAGCTTTTATGAGCTGATGTCACATATAAACGCTCTGTCTCTTTAACAACCTCCTACCATTTCGGACACTCCCACTTCAGCATGTCTTCACAACAATGCTTCAAAGTAAATCTGCAGACTGAACTCTGAGGTGGAGCTTTGTATAAATAGGCGGTGCTTTGTACCACTAGGCTGATGATTTGAAGCTCGAAAAAGGTGATTTTGCATGACACCTCCCCCACAAATAACGCTGAACGTTCAAACATTTTTGCTGCTGAACTGTCAGCCATGTGTTTAAATTGATTTAATGACCAATAAATAAATAAATAAATAAATAAATAAATAAATAAATAAATAAATAAAGACTACAAGATGCAGTACAGTGTGCTGTGTGCCAAGTAAGCACTTAATACCAGATTAAAATCAAATAAATATTCTCAAAACTATGTAAAAAGGACCCATTTTTGGGTTTGATGCTTTGTCTTTTTGCCATTTTTAGATGAATATAGTATTTATTTATTGCCAAGTCACTGTTTTCCCTTGGAACTAGTACTAAATAGCACAGAATTTTTCTAAAACTGGTTATATATTAATGAGACCAGTGTTGTTATAGGGAGACCAACATAATGAGTTTTCAGCTGAACATATCCCCTGAAGGTCGGTGCCAACTGCACCCATCAGTCTTCACCTGTGACCTCATAAACTGCCCTTCTCCCCTGAATACAATGACCCCGACCCCCAACAAACCATCACATTCCCCCTCCTCAAAATGCCCACACTTGACGAAACACAGAAAGAGCAAATAGATTGGATTAAAGAAATCAAACAAAGAAAAAAAAAACAGAGAAGAGAAGAGGGAGAAAAAAGGAACAAACTTATAAGAATCCTTTGAGCTCTCCTGCCCTCAGCTGTTTATCTTGCAGATCGAGTTAAACAGAAGCCCCTTATAACTCCCCACATACCAGACAATATCACAGTGGCCCCTGCTTTACAAATATAAACATGGGCGCTTTATCAAAGAGCAGCGCAGCTCAATCAAACACGTCCAGGCTCCTTCGGCTAACCTAATTTACTTCCCTTGCCACAAAAAAAAAAAAAAAAAAAAAAAAAGAAAAACACTTATTTGATTTGAGCTTTTGGAACGTTTCATTTCGTCTGAAAACGGGGACCTTTTGGGAGGTCTGTTGATTAGGGTTTAAGGAGATTTCGCTGTGTTTACCTTCTAAAACCCACAGTGGGTTTCTGATCGTGGACAGATTTGCAGACGATCGTGAAAGAAAAGCCTGGGGTCGCACATAACGTGTTTTGTCCACAGAAAGAAGAGGTTGTTCGACTTAGTTGGGAAATGCACGGTTCCTCGTTTTCGCTCAAACTAAAGAGGACCGGTTTGGAGCTAAAAGTTAACTTTGATGCATCTGATACATGCAGGAAAGAGTTGCATCATCCTGGATTAGAGGAGGATTTGGAGCTTTTCCCTGTTGAAAGCAATAAGCAGAGCATAGCCTTAGTTTATTGGCGTTCCGGGGGCCCCTGTCATGAGTAAGTATGCACAAACACACACATACATAAAGGCAGAGGGAGGGAGGGGTGTCTTGGCAGCAGAGTGACTCCAGCCTCGGTGTTGGTCCAAAGGGAGCTTTGCTGGAAGAGAAATAGACATTAAAAAGTGCAGCCATTCCCCCTGGTGTTAACTGAAGGGTGGTCTCTCTGTTTTTGTCTCTTTCTGCACCTCTATCTCCTCAAGCCCCTCTTGGTCCCATCTCAAATCACTCCATCTCCCTCTTCGTTTTCCTTACACCCCCCTCCCCTCCCCTAATCTATCATATAATCATCCTCCCTCTGTTTAATACTACCCCTTTCATTTCCTCCTCGACTCCAAACTCCCCTTTCGTTCTCCTC